TGCCTTCAGCACCTTGTTGAATCAATGCCACGTAGAATTAAGGCAGTTCTGAAGGCGAAAGGGGGTCAAACACCGTATTAGTATGGTGTTCCTAATAATCCTTTAGTTGAGTGTATAATGGCGCCTTTGACAGGTACCATTGTAACAAGATAATCAATTTTATTCACTTCACCTGTCAGTGGTTTTAATGTTATGGCTGAACAATGTATAATAGTATTTATGCAGGGACTCAGATCTGTTTCCAAGACAACAGTTTCTGGCATTTAGCACACAAAACAAGTGCTCATTATAAATGAATCACTTGTTGCTCCAATCAAATATAAACTCAGTTGCCAGTTTATTATGCGCATCTGATTTTTAACTGGTTCTCTAAAAGGTGAATCCTATAGCTACAACTGAATATATACAGCATACAGACTGGGTTGGTATAGGTTCACTGACTGTTTAACTAAGCATTAACAGGGTTCCCCAATACTGGTGCTTTAAGGCCAGGGTCCAACACAGTTTGCAGATTTCCTTGTTCAAACACGCCAATCAAACCCAGTAATTAGCTGATTAAGATGTTTGAGCAGGAAAATCTGTAAACTATGATGGATTCTGGCCCTCTGCACCCGAAATTGGGAAACTCTGCATTAGACCATGTAAGACCAAAGCAATGTGGTTGAATGTGGTGCTGTGTGGAGATTTCAGCATCTCAGAAACAGCCACCCTCCTGTGATTCACACACACTATAGTATATATACCAGGGGTCACCAACATAGTGCCTGCGGGCACCAGGATGCCCCCAAGGACCACATGAGTCGCCCGCGGACCTGTTCTAAAAATAGCACAACTCACCAGTGAGCAGCGTCTGAAATTTTATTTTATCCTGTTGCTATTCTACTTTAATCACATTTGCATTTATATAGATTTGAAAGTGATCATATCTAAAAAAAAAAAAAAGCATTTAAAACATGTTTATTATACATGAAGTTTAGATAAGTTTAGGAGGCCGTTTCAAACTGGTAGCCCTTCGTATGGCTCAGTACCCGTGAAGTAGCTCTCAGTTTCAAAAAGGTTGGTGACCCCTGATCTAGGCTTTACAATGAATGATGTGATGAACAAAAACATCCACTCAATGGCCCTCCTGTGAACAAACAAAACATGTTTTAATGAGAGGTTAGAAGAGAATAACTAGATTTGTCAAAACTAGCGAGGGGTAACTAATAAAGTGACCTCGAAGTGTAAATGCTGTTACCATTTGTCCTTATCAGAGTCTGGGCTCTTATGTTAAAAGACATCTAGCCATGAATCCAGATAATTTAGCGGATAAGACTCAGATCGAAAGCTCTAAGAAATGTTTGGACAGTTACCCCAGTAGCGATACTAACTGTGCATTTCTGCAATAAATGTCCATTGCATAAACACATTAAAGTGGCTCTCATTCCAGGAATCACTTATCCAATTAAGTGGCCTGTATCCCAGAAAGCATCCTCTCTCTTGTCCATTCCTTCAATACAATTAAGACAATCTGGAGAAAGACAAAGAAATACAGAAAGGACATACAGAACACACAGGAAGTTACTAACAAATGAGGATTCAAATCTAATTTCTCTCTAATGTAAAGGTAACGTTTCCAAGGTCTTATATCCTGAAATATTTTCTAGTCTGGAGCTGTTGTATAATATGGTTGGTTACTAAACATTTTTACCTATACAAAGAGAGGGCAATTGATTACTTGTCCATAACTGCGCACTACTGCTAATTATAGCTTTTTTATGTAGACCGTTAAACTGAGATAATTTTAAGATCAACGTATAATTCTGATAATGGACAATCGCCTGCCATTAAGAGCTCTTATTCAGTAAATCAAGTCAGGAAAGCAAAGCTGTAGTCTATTAGTGACACCTGCTGTTGGTAGAAAAGACTGCACAGATCCCACCCAAAGAAAGTGATACACATTCGTGTCTGGTTGAATACTTGAAAAAAAGAGTGTTTTTGGAGATTCTACAATTAAATTACCACTTATTATCTAAATCTTGCATGCCTAATTTATGACACCATCAATTCAATGGTGGTTTTCTTGTTTTTTTCCACCGAAGGACACCCTGGGGATATGCCCTGAATGCATGACTTACATGAAAAGCACTTTCAAAAACTGTGAAAAATTAAAGTCAAAATTTAATTTCTTATGTGCAAAAAATACATTGCAACAGTCCTACAGCTACATCAAATACAAGGAACAGCAGTATACAGGGAAGAGTAAACAGTGAAGATTAATACACACTTTCACACATTACTGCTCACATAAAGAAACAGGTATTATTATTATTATTATTATTATTATTAACATCATTAGAAATATGCCGGAAGCTCAGTTGGATGGCTTGGTGG